AGATAAGATGGATCTCCCACAAAGCCCACCCCTTAAACCAGAAAAAAAAATGGAGGAGGAGTAGAAAAAAGGCTACAGTACATGCTATGGGAGGCCCAAACGTTCAAACAACCCTCTTAAAATAAAACAGAGAGAGAGAGAGAGAGAAATTCCAAACCCACCGCAGCTCCACACCTTCATAATGGCCCGTTCCGTCATGAGGGAGAGAGGCTAGGATAAAGATTGTCTTTTCTTGCTCTTGGGAAATGCAACCTATCAAGCTCCTTCTTATTTTGTTTTTAACTCTGTCATATTTTATTTATTCATTTGTTTATTTTGGCAAGGGAAAGGCCAGTAGAGAAAGAGCACCATTGGCTGTAGGATGGTCACTAGATGTTCTCTTCGTTGGTTTTTCTCTTGAAGGATGTGCAGTCATTTGAAAGAATGTCCTTTGGAAAAAGACGGAGATCCGAGGGTTTGATTCTTCTACCGTTTTCTCAAACGTCTCTCTTTTTTTTTTCCCCTCGCTTGATCCTCCAGAGATCCTTTAGTGTGGGTGTAGTATTATTAATATTAATATTATTATTATTAAAAAGCATTTTCATTTGCTTTTTATGAATATTATTCTAGTAAGATCCCATGATTGTCTTCACAGTGTTGCTACCTTATCATTGCAAAACAGAAAAAAAAAACAATTAAGATTCCCCAGACAGTTCATGGAGTTTCCTTTAAGTTCATGAACACCGGTGTGTTAAATACTTTATCTTCTTCTTTTTCTTCTTTTCTGTTTTATCCCCCGGCTGAGTCCCCAGACGTGCTAGCGTTCCCATTCTCTCCAGTAGGGGGCAAAAAGGATTCATGGACCCCAAAAATGGCAAGGACTGTTTCTCATGCCTCAATAGGACTGGCTACCATGCTGTTAGGTGTATCCGGGAGTTGAGAGGACATGGACGCTACCTCACTTCCGGTGGAATTGGAACCTGGGCCTCCTTCTGAAAAATTAACCTGTCAGACATTTTTTTAAAGAGAGAGAGGAAGAAAAACAAAAATTATAAGGCAGAAAGAGAAAAGAACTGGTTTGAATCCAGACTTAGTTAAGATTAAAGGAGACCAACTGGTCACCTCTGGCTTATGGCAATCCTAAGAGTACACTAAGCATGGTTAAGTCTGGATCCAACCCCACAGTTGTTTTCCAACTTTCAAAAGATGATTGCAAGCATTTATTTTAGATATTTTTACCTTGCTAATCTCCTAAAAAAAGGCACCAAGGTGACTTACAATTCATTGTAATTTTCTCAGTACAGAGAACTGGATCTTAGCTATAAAGGTAAAGGTTCCCCTTGACAATTTTTGTCCAGTCACATTCGACTCTAGGGGGCGGTGCTCATCCCCGTTTCCAAGCCATAGAGCCAGCATTTTGTCCGAAGACAATCTTCCGTGGTCACATGGCCAGTGCGACTTAGCCACGGAACGCTGTTACCTTCCCACCAATTTTCGAACCGCTAGGTTGGCAGGAGCTGGGACAAGTGATGGATGCTCACTCCGTCACGTGGATTCAATCTTATGACTGCTTGGTCTTCTGACCCTGCAGCACAGGCTTCTGCGGTTTAGCCCACAGCGCCACCACGTCCCTTTAGCTATAATGTCAGTAAATTCACCAAATTGGAGTCAACCCATCAGAGCTGATTATTTATGTGTGTACTATCCTCATCATCATCATCCAGCAATATTCAGAACAGCATACATACTACGTCAGTCTTTAAGACATACCTAGGTTTTTTGTTAAAACTTGTATCTCTTATGCAATACTAGTCAATGATGATGAATCAGCCTATAATATGACATCATAGTTTCTATTGTATTGTAACCATTTGAAAGAGGGTCCCTAGTTCCTTTTTTAAGTATTTTGCAACAGTGGATGAAATCTTATTGCTTACTGCAACAAGCTGCACTAGAGTAGTCCCACTGAATCCGTGCACATTTGGTGAGTTAACTCCTCTGTTAGCTCCATTGATTAAAACAGACCTACTCTAGCTGCAACTTTACGTGCAGTGAATCACAACAGGATTTCAGCCAATATGACACAAATAGTTAAAGAGCTATATTGCACATATACCAACATGAATTTGACCAAACTCTGGGAGGCAGTGGAAGACAGGAGGGCCTGGCATGCTCTGGTCCATAGGGTCATGAAGACATGACTTAGTGACTAAACAACAATAAAGTTTTTCATTCTTCCTTTCCTCAATGCTACCCTTCTGCTGAACTTTTATTTCAGAACAGGTCGTGGATATTGCAAGTGGAATGCTGGGGAACTGGCCCATAGGCAATAAATTAATGTCAAAACAAAAATGGATGGGAATGTCAAATTAGATGCCATGCTGTAAAAGTCAAGGGATTCTGAAGTGAGATCGTTGAAACACTTTGAATTTAGTGTAATGTCTGGCTTTCAGAGCTATGGATCTGTATATCTCTCTCATTCTCTGGGTGAAATCCTATTACATTTTTGCACTGACATAACATGTTTGGTTTAAACTCCAGCAGCAAATAGACACAAGTTAAGCAGTCAGTGTAGGCATTTGCTGTCTTTGGGGTTACATGATTTGGTGAGCAACAGCATTATGGTACACAGCATTATGCTCGCAGGCACAACTAATAGCATCTTGACTACAGTCTATACCTGAAAGCATTTTCATTTTTAATGCATTGAAATAAAAAGTCTCATTCTTGCACTTGCACGTCCAACAGAGGAAGACAGCACTATGGTCTGACGTAGGCTCCAACTCTGTGCACACTTACCTGGAAATAATCTGCACTAGACTAGATGAAAATTACTTCTGAGTAGACTCACACAGGATTGCAGTGCCTTTGGTCTCATGTCTGAAGTGAAATTTCAAACATCTTTCCCCGATCATAGCTCCTATTCTTAACCACAAACTGCAGCATATTTTATTATGACCAAGCGGGTCTCAGATTTATTGTGATCTGCCAAACAAATCTACTCAGAAGTAAGAGTCACTGAGGTCAGTAAGGTTCCTAAGTAAATGTATACAGAACTGCAACATTAGTGTCAGTAGCAATATTTAGTTTCAGAGTCACTAAATGGACAATGAACTGTATACTGAGATACAGCTTAATAAGGTACACATTTTCGCCTGAAATGCTTGCCTCATCTTAAACCAGATTTTTAAAAAAATATTTGAGAAGAATTTATGAAGGTCTCCTCCCTAATGGAGATGAGAATGAAAAGCAACCCATGTGCATAAGGGGGTATCTTGATGAAAGTGACTCAGCTAAGGCAGCAATCCTATGCCTTCAATTAGGAATAAGATACTCAATGCCCTTAATCTCCAAGTAAACATGCATAGGATTCCACAGCACGGTATATTCATTTACACAGGGAAAATCCACACGTAGCCTTGACACAACATGGCCTGGTACACATGCTCCCAATAAAATGGATGAGCAATAAGATATTGAAAATCATCATATCACATCAATGATATCTGACTGTGTAATGTCTCAACTTTATGCACTGGTATTTCTTTATGTCCACCAGCAAGACTCATAGGACCTTTGCCTAACATGAAGCTGTGAAGCTGGCAGCCCTTCAGATAATGCTGAACTCCAGTTCCCATTGCCCAAGTCAGCTTTGCAAATGATGGGAGATGATGGGAGACGTAGTGCAATGGGAGCTGGCAGGCTACAGGTTCTCCAGTCCTAGTCTATGCCCACGCAGAGGTTATTGCCAGTCAGACAAGCCAGTGCAGGGTGATCTTGAGATCTCAACACATTCACTGTAGGGCAGTTTAGTATTCATGTATTCATTCAGTACAGTAAGTGATTTCCGAACAAGGTCATAGACACAGCAGTAACTAGCTCTTTAACCAGCAGGAATAGAAGGGATGGCTTTTATCTTGCTTCCCTGACATAAACACACACCATGCAGTATGGGCATGCTGGTTGGGGGATTGGAGGTCCAAACATGCAACTTTTCCAAACACTTTGACTGAAAAGAAGCCCAGTTTACACCTAAATCTGCCCTATTCCATCCACAGTCTTCAGATAAGAAGTATAGAAGAGGATACTGAACTCACTTTATCCTGATGAAGTATTTAAAATTCTAACAAGGTGGTGTCTGCAGTTGTCATTCCCTCGATCAGGACCAGGAAGAACTACTTTATGGCTGTGATCCACTATCAGCAGTGAGAGAACCATTGGCTTACCAGGTGTTTTGGCCTACAAATCCCATCAGCTGCAGCCAGGATTGCCAAGAATTGGTAGGGGTTGTAGTCCCAAGCATCTAGAAAAGTATTTCCCAGCTTTGCCCCCCCAGATGTTCTTGAACTAAAACTCCCAGATGGCTTCACCACTAGCTGTGCTGGCCAGGATTTCTGGGAGTTGTAGTCCAAGAACATCGGGGGACCAACAGCTGGGAAGCACTCATCTAGAGGGACAGTGTTTCAGCATCCCTGCCCTATAGTAGGGATTTAGGATGCCACTGTGCCTTAGTCCTGCATTATAGTCAAGATCACACTCAGTGTGTGTGTGTGTTTACAAGAACAAGAATACTTGTTCATCTGGATTGTATCCCTTGGACAGATTGCTAATACAGCAGAGAGTGTGGAAATATATGCCCTTGATATCATACCAGCCCCTGTGTGTCATTGCTAAATTCATCGACCTGAACTTCTTGAAAACTGGGCGGAAGACAAAGGCAATGAATACATCAAATTATTTAGAAAAAAGACTGCCATGGTCTGTTGCAGTTTTGCTGTACAGAACTTACACAAGACAGTGGCTGAAATCTTGTTGCTTAGTGTAGTATGTTGCACTAGAGTATGCCCACTGAATCAATGGGGCTTGGGCCTACTCTAGTTGCAATGTACTTTAGCATAGAAAGTAATAAATAGAGTACAGTAGATCAATTTTAACCAGTGGATCTTATGAGTTGACTCACCAAATCAACACTGATTCAGTCAATTTTAACCAGTGGATCTTATGAGGAGTTGACTCACCAAATCAACACTGATTCAATGGGCCTACTCTAGTGTGACTTACTACACTAAGCAACAAGCTTTCAAACAATGTATCAACCCCAACTATTTGAACCATAACTGCTCCAGAATTTCAGGCAAAATCAAAGTAAAAATAAAAATATAAAACTGCTTCAGATTTGTCCATTTGACTGTGTACATCTAATAAAAAACAGATAGGATGGTAAACTACAGCTAAATCACATCCTTCCCAGCATGTATGCATCCAGTCAATGACATAGATGTTCGACTGTTAAATATGAGTTACGTGTACTCACACAAGACCTACTGTGGTACCTAATCCTAGCTGGCAATGAACATCATTAGACACATGAAATTTACTTCTGAGTAAATATGCACAGTCTTGTGCTGTAAGAGGCATAAATGGTAAATAAAAGATTCACACTTCAAGCAGAAGATGACAAATGTCACTTCTCTTGGACTGTAACTCCCAGCTTACCACAATCAGTATGGCCAGCTCTGATCCCTGGCATTCTATTCACTCAGTGGTCTTAGATGTTCTGATTCCTTCATCTATATTATAGAGAATTGTTTCAAGGATTTGTGATGGCCACCCTTATAATTCTTAGTTTTATTTGAGGCTTCCGTTGTTTTCACAAAAGGTTATATTCATCAATGAAATGAAATTCCATTGATTTTAACACATATGGTGCACATACTCTACAAAGCATATAAAGCTGAAGATGCCTAGCAGCCTCACCCACCTATTCTCACTGAACAAATGCTGGAAGAGAAACCTATATCCTACAGACAGATGGAAAGTGAAGGGCCGTTAAGAACCATAAGTGCCATTAAAATCCATGAGTGAAAGGCACCCTTCCATAAGCAAAGCCCCCCTTCTGTGAAAAAATGTGCCTTTGCAGAGTGAAAAACTAGGATCCAAGCCAATGGATTTGCTTCTATGTCAGCACAGTGAGATCAGCCATGTCACACAGACATTCTTCTAATTTAAATGCCCTGATCCAAAATGAAATTCAGAATTTAATCACTGTGGTGGACAATCATACTGAGGTCAATATAATTTGCTGCCAAATGACATCCTTTAGGATTACAGACCCATGAGTGGAAGGCACCCTTCCCTAAGCAAAGCTCCCCTTCTGTGAACAATGGATCATAGCCTAATAGAGCTGCTAAGGACCCAAGGATTCCTCAAGTTCTGTTGCATGTCCTTTACTTGATGTGAGGATCTTGGCTAGATATTCAGAACCCTTAAATTCAGCAGAACTATCCAGACTACCTTCCTTTACCAACCATGAATTGGTGAATTACGCAAAGGTAAAAAAATCAATGGAATTTCCCTTTTACCCAATGCTGTGACTAAGAGCCCAATGAGTCCATGTATTCCACTGGTCAAAAAGGGATCCTGTAGGAATGGGGTTCTTCACTTATTTTTGCAGAAGAGAATGCTTTATGCAACGTCAGCATCCCTTTGCACATGCATAGCCATTCCCTCTATTTAATTATATGGGGTGGGGGGGAGGAAGGGATTATACATGGAGCCAGCAACTTTACAATAATGGTTTATTTTGAAAGGAGACAAATATCAGTGCTAGACGAAGATATCTGCATTTTTCCCAAGCAGCTACACCGAGTGATCCCAAAAGCATGCTCCACAACCCAGGCAACATTGCCCAATCATCTGTGGCATAGCAAAGAATTCTAGGTGATGCCCACTGCCTTGTTCCACAGCCCTAATAATATCCCTGCATTCAGCAAGCAACTGTTTACGCAGCCCAGTTCAGCCAGCCTGGTTGTCTCTTGATAAGATTTGATACTAAGAAGACTGAGATTTTAAGACCCTTTGTTGAGGCCCTGCATGGGAACACACAATGCCAATTGGCTTCTCTTCAGTCCTCTTAGCAGATATCCCATTATAAATAATTTTGTATGTAATTTTCTTCCCACCCTAAGGTTTTCCCATCTTTGTCATGCTGACGTAATTTTCTTTCACACTTTATCATGTCCCCAAATCTTTCCATTGTATCTCCCTAGACTCATTTCCTCCCACAAGCTCTATCCAACTCCAATATCATTAAAAGCTGCATTTAAAGGCCTGAGGCCTGTCAATTCTACCTAAGTGCACACTACCCTTGGAACACAGCGGGAAAACTGACCATGAAAACAGAGCAAGGTAAGCCATCTCCAATGGCAAAAGAATGACAAAGTTATCATCATTGAGTTTATTACATTTATAGCATCCTGGAGAGCATCATTAGTATTTTCTGCTTCAGGCAGAAAGTCTCCAAATATAATACTCAGAAGTAAATTTCTTTTGTGTTCAGTAAGACTTAGAGAACATGAGGACAACACTCTACAGGAATCAACTATGAGACAAACCAGATAATTTATGTCACTAATCGGGATCCTAATGGAAACATTTTAGATACTTTTTACTTGAAGCATTAAAGCTGCCATTTCTAATGTGAACAATATCATCATATGTGTCTTTCCAAAGCAAAACATTTGTCCTCTTATTTATTTTTGGAAACTCTGGTTAACCCAATCATTAGATGTTCTATCATTGCTACTATGAATTTTAATCACTGAAAAACCATTCATAACATACCTTAATATTTTTAAGATCTGGTTTTAACACACTTAGGCCAGGAAACTGAGTTAAGGTTGAACTTCTGTCCTTAAATCACCTGGTTGGGCCTAAGTATTGCAGATGATATGGTCCCATATGAGCTGCCAAATGATGTAGGCATAAGGAAGTGAGTTAAGAACAGAATTGGTTGGTAAATTCCTCTTGGCTTTTTGGTAAAAAGCCAGCCTATAAATACTACACAGCTGTTGAATGTAACTATATACAACCACATTTTAAAAAAAGAAAGCATTTACTGATCAATGGAAATTTAGAAATATATGCGTAACGGTACATAAAAAGAAAGCTGTGTACAATTTGGGCTAAACCATACATTTGAAGGCAATCTGCTTAAGGCTAACAGTACAATATATAACAGTTATTAATATAAATATAAAATGTGAGCATAAGATGAAATATGGGCAAATAATGACTGTTTTATAGAAGTGTACATATTTACTGATGAAATATACTTTTGCTATTGTTGTTTTAAGAACTACTAATTTTCAGATATTGGCCAAAATTCTGTTGCTTAACATAGTAAATCACACTAGAGTAGGCTCATTGAATCATTGAGAATTTATTATGTCAAATCTTCCATAAGTTCACTTGATTCAAATGAGCCTACTCTAACTATGCCCTGCTTTAGCACAGTAAATCATAGCTAGACTAGGTCTGTTTGAATCAGCAGAACCTGTGGAGGAGTTGACTTGCCAAATCCCCATTGCTCTAATAGGCCTACTCTAGTACAGTTTACTACACTAACAGGATTTTGCCCAGTATATTAACAATAGTGTTTTAGATATATTAGAATTTCTCTGTCACATTAAAGATTGGTTGTACAGCCTGATCCAGGTTGGTAGTGGAAGTCCTAACATACAACTATTGCAAAAGTTGTTCAGCACCTTCCCACCCCCCACATTTTTGTATTCAAATATAAGAGGATTTAGAGATCCCAATTAAGCTTGAAATGTGACATAGCGGTCATATGGCTAAATTTATTTGTGGGAAATCCCAGTTCAAAATCCTACTTGGTCATAAAGTCTACTAAAAGGGAGGGGGGCCTTTGGAGCATCACATCTACTTATGCATCGCATCAGCTTAGGTTATAGAAGCAGATATGTTCTCGTGACAAAAGAATTTTGGCAAATGTTATAAAGGAGTATATACTCTGCAACAAAAGGCGAAAGGTGCAATTCAGCACAGTTAGCTGGCTTAAATCATCAACTGCTATAAAGAGAACATAACAATGCAATCCTTTACATGTCTACCGATTTCTCATTTGAGTTCCATGGTACATACTCTCACGTATATTGTATGTGATTATACCTTGAGAGTATACATCTCTATTCATTTTCCTGGAATAGAATTTACTTCAAAGTAAGTAGCCTCAATGGGGCTTATTTCTGAATAGGTACAGGGTTGCTCCACAAATACTCCAACTGTGGGCAGAGCGGCCTCTTACATAGGTTTATAAAACAATTTTAATTCTGGGAAATCTATGATGATTTTTAGGGATAACTAGAACTATGACCCAATTCATCATAGCCATTTAATCCTGTAGGTTTTAATCAAACAATCTGTTAGTGCTGTTGTTGCTGTTGTTTTGTTAATCACTTAGAGAACCTGCCAGTTATGAGACACCAGAAATAAACAAGCCCTCATTCTGGAGGGGAAACCACAGTGCCTTCTGGGAAATCTATGATGATTTTTAGGGATAACTAGAACTATGACCCAATTCATCATAGCCATTTAATCCTGTAGGTTTTAATCAAACAATCTGTTAGTGCTGTTGTTGCTGTTGTTTTGTTAATCACTTAGAGAACCTGCCAGTTATGAGACACCAGAAATAAACAAGCCCTCATTCTGGAGGGGAAACCACAGTGCCTATTATTATTATTATTTTATTANCCTCTGAGAAGGAAGGAGGACTATTGTTTCTGTATCTTTGTATTCCATAAGCAAATTTTATAAGCACTGCTCTTAAACAGACAGGCCTTTGGCCATGTAGGAAGAATTTTTTAATAGTAAACATTGCACTTTCACTTGTTCTGCTGCTAGCCTTTTAAATAGCCCTTGAATTGTTTTACTTTGGTGCATGTTTTTAATATGATCAGTTATTTGATTGTGCTTTAGTATTGCAATTTATTGGGTTGTGACCTCTATCTCTTTTTAATTCATATTGTGAGCCACCTCGGGTCCTACACTGGCAAGACTCACATGAAATAAATAAATATATATATATTTTTAACTGAATTTTGTGCTG